TCGGCACTTGAAAGAGATTGGGCATTAAAGCGACGCGAGAGAACTGCTGGACGGCAAGGGATGAGTTGAGCGCTTTGGTTGTCGCATTTTTACTACCGCCATCGGCAAGGCTTAAGCGAGACATCGGTGCGCGAATGGTGCTGTAAGAATTGGATGGCTGAAATTTCATTTCCAATTGGGCGATATGACTGATTTCAGGGTCCGGATCCAAGGTCACAAAACCGATCAGTCGAAACTTTTGTGCTCAACCCCCACAGCAACATGATCCTCACTCATCCCTCCATCGTTGGTACGTCAGTACCCAACCTATGTTGATCACAGCTAACACTATGTACAGACGGCTGGTTCCGCGAAATCAACTCGCAGTGGCCAGGTATGTCACTCGTCCATCCCGACATGACTCGCTCGTGCTGAAGCTTTTGGCCAGGCCAGGCAATGACACTCAAGGTCGACCGGATCTTGCATGTCGAGCAAAGTAAATACCAGGATGTGCTTGTGTTCGAGTCCGCCACGTTTGGAAACGTCCTGGTTCTGGACGGAGTCATTCAGTGCACGGAGCGCGACGAGTTTTCGTATGCCATCTAATTTTCCTAATCGAGCTTTAAATTAATAGCAATATAGATACCAGGAAATGATCGCGCACCTCCCTCTAGCCTCGCACCCCAACCCGAGAAGAGTTCTCGTCATTGGTGGGGGTGACGGTGGTGTCGTCCGCGAAGTACTCAAGCACGACACTGTCGAGGAGGTCGTCCTCTGTGATATTGATGAGGCCGTCATTCGCGTTTCCAAGACTTATCTCCCACATATGTCTAGCCTCCTCTCCGACAAGCGTGTTACGGTCTATGTCGGCGATGGTTTTGCGTACCTCCAGCGGAACACCGCCCAGTTTGACTGTATCATCACGGATTCTTCTGACCCTGTTGGCCCTGCCAAAGCCCTGTTCGAGAAGCCCTATTTCGAGCTCCTGAGGGACGCATTGGCGGACGGAGGACACATCAGCACTCAGGGCGAGTGTTTATGGATCCATCCATCACTCATCAAGGAGCTGCACCAAATTACAAGCAAGCTCTTTGCTGTCGCCGAGTACGCATTCACGACCATCCCCACATACCCATCTGGCCAGATTGGATTCATGGTCGCCTCCAAGGCCGAGGGCCGGGACTTGCACACGCCCGTTCGACGACTCGAGGGGTGCAGGTACTGGAATGAAGACGTGCACAGGGCGGCGTTTGTGCTCCCCGAGTTTGGACGAGCGATG